CTGCGCACACGAACATACTTGAAGCCTTGGGAGTTAAATCATTAGAAATAATCGTTATTGCCAAAGGTACCCAAGCAATTAAGATTAAACAGACGCAGGACACAGGCACCCCAAGAACCAAAACCTATTACACGTTCTCGTTAACCGAATGGGAGGTAAATAAAATCATTACAGTTTAGTGCAGAAATCCGATGAAATCCTCATATTTTGTAATGGAATCGTAGTTTTTATTTTAATACATGCCAGCAGTAGGTGCATTAATAATTCATCCAAATCCCGTTCGAGGTCACAGTGCGGCTGGCAAAAATCGGTTTACGAGTGTGGGAACTCGCGGGCGGTACGGGCGGCGCGCGGCGGGTAGCGCGGGCGGCGCGACGATGCCGCGTTGATATAACCCGGTACAGGCGGCACCACCGCGCAAACAAATTGGATGCTTAAAATTCAATTTGAAGGTTTCGCGGTCCGCTTCATTCGCTCTCCCCGTTCGTTACAAGCTGGACTCGCTCACATATCCAAATGGAAACGCAATTATTTTGCCGTAACTTGGTATGTTTAAATGTTTATCGCCGCCGGGTATTCTGCTTGTTTATATAATGGAAGTTGACTTGTTTACGCCAAAATCAATTGAGAGATTAAATCCTACAATATCTGTGCGCACTGTACGTCTAAATGATGTGGCCTTTTCATAAGGTAGTACCTATGTAGGATTATGAGTCAAGTGACACGTGTAGGGTTATAATTATTTCAGACTTTACAAAGTATCAAAGAAGAAGTTTACTTTGGGCGATCCATGCTTCAGCACGAAAGGGCTGGCTCGACAAAAGCGACACGGCCACATAGAAAACAGGAGTAAAGCAACACTTACATTGTATTTCGCCGTGTGAGTGAGGTTACTGAAGATTTTTCCTCTCCCCTCACATCCTCAATCCTCAAATCCCTTATAACCCACAAAAGACCAGTAAAGAACTTGTAGTAACTTCTTTGGTATTACGAGTGTCCATGGAAGGCGCTGATTGCTTACCACCAGGTAATCCGTCTGCTCAATTGCCGACCTAATGACACAAAAAAAGAAATAATTAAAATATTTTGCCTCAAAACCCTCAGGTTTACTTTGTTACTTATATGTCTCTAAAAACTTAACAACAGAGGTAGGTTCTTACTAAAATAATTTATTTTAACATGTAAAATACACCGCCGCAGTAGTTGTCACTAACAGCGCCGTGTTGTGATAGAAACTTAAACAACAAAACAGAACTAAACGAGCGCTTAAAATAAAGAGGGCTTGCGGTGGGTGCTGGGTGCTATCCCACAAAGAATTTCAAGTTGAAATAACTACTAGACCAAGTTTTCCTCCTTCAGATTCACAAAACTTTTCGGAATAAATTCAAGTTTCCTCAAGCTGAAAATTGATGAGTACTTCTATGAATTTAAATATAACCCGCCATAATTTGTATTAGCATAATAGCAATAAATCCATCCTCGTTTTCCAGGAACTTCGTGCCATAAATGCCCAAATCGGATTGCTTAGATGACACAACAAAATAAGTACCTACTATCAGAGCTAAAACAGCTATACAATGGCAAGATACCTACAAACTCATAAGTTGATGTTGCGACGTCTCAGTGCCGTCTAGAACTTTTCTAATCCTGTATTCTTCGGTAAACTTTTCCAATATTGCGAACATAACAAGCTTACATGTGCGCCTAATCCGACAACATCCAAGCATCCTGAGACTGCATGGCGTTTCATGAGATTAACTAATTTATTCATATTATCCATGTGAAGCGAGTACGGATATTTTTAATCCGGGGATAATTTATGTGTTTGAAGAAGCAACAAGTGATGGTGCGCTTGGAATTAATGATCTTTGGTTCCCTTCATCATACATCTCTGGGAATAGTGGAAATAGATTTAGTCGTGAATTAATTCGTGTGAGTGTGTGTCGAGGCAAATTAGACCGCTGCAATTCCAAACACACTAGCCCGTTTTGTCGCAAAGTAACTCAACGAACAAAATGAATTATCACGCGGCGCCAGCTTGGGAATCAGCACTTTCATTAACTTTCTACCTTGTAGCTCTCCCTCCATTCCCATTTATTCCTACTTCAATTTATTATTAATCCTTGTGGATTGTGTGAAAGCAAGGCAATCGCTTAGCTTAAAACGAAACACTTAATTGTCTAACCCTGGAATTTAGATAGAAATGGGTTTATTCAACTACTGGATTATTTAATTCATCAACATTTAGTTCTATTGAAAAAGCAATTAAAATATTTTTGGTAGTTGAACGTTAATAAATATTTAGATAAAGGTTTATTTGAGTACTAGATATTTTTCAATTAAGCTTAATTCAATTTTGTAATTTCAACATTTTATACTATGTCTATCCTTTTTGATTTAACAAAGATAATGTTATTTTAGTCTTAGTAATATTCTTAAATGTAATGCGTTCGTTTTACTTTGTGGGATTTTATATTTTATACGAATAATTTTATCTTCATTTTTATTTTTTAAAAGGGTATAAGAAAGATCAAAAAAACATTTTAATTTCAATTCTTTATTCGACACCATATTTTATGCATTCCATTAAACACCAAATTGTAACAAAATGTTGATGTCCAGCGTGTACAAATATTTAAATTGGTTTATATTCTACTTGTAAATAACATGGATAAAATTATAATACAACAGTAATAAAAATGTCAATAATGTATAACAACTTAACTAAGCAATTCCTCTAAGGATGACAAATTATATTTTGATAACATTATACTTATTTATATATAACATATTTTCGTGCTAGAATTTTCATGACATGTATTAAATTGAAATTAATTATTATGTTTAACGGCTCACTCGCTGGCCGGAGCTGGATTAGTTTGAAGCCACGGTACGAGCTCATACTCATTTCCGACGTTCGTTGTGAGACAAACGAGTTAGTTGCGTAAAGTTACACTTCGTAATACCAGTTAAGTTCCTCGTCAAACAGTGACCTGATTGATCCATTAAATAATTAATCGTGTTTTTAAAACATAAACAAGCCAATTATTTTTCTAAAATTGTATTCCATTATAATTTTAAAGAGCTTTTGAATAATCAGATAGGCTCTTTAGCACATTACTGTTAACAATTGTATTTAAATGAATTGGTCTACGTAATCCTTTGAATATATATAAGATAAAATTTATGTTTACACAGACAGCTGCATTTTTAATAAATATACTTCTACTATTTGGCACATAACAAAATTTTGGCATACATATTATAAAAACATTCTAAAAAAATTAAATTACAAATGCAAATTTAAATTAGGAAACAATCGTGCTACATACTCCTATAGTCAATTCCAGTTTATCTACATTCAAAATTGTTTTTACATTTCATGATTCATAAATAGAACAATGTCATACAATGGTACTCATCGTGGTACTCATAACTAAATAAATTGAATTTATTATAATAGTTCACATTTTGTCACAATGTGGAAAACGGTGTAAGTGTTTAAATATTTACTCACCATTAATTTAATCATCATCAATTCCTGTGAAGATAAAAGTATGGACGAGTACTACGGATTTGTTTCGAAGTCGAGAGGAAAATACCTCGAATATTTATCGCATATCAGCATTTTTCAACAATATTCCTAAAGATGTTTAAGAAATATCTTGAGATTCCTTCAATAAATTACAGGGGATTTATTTTACGCATATAACGCACGATTGTGGGTAACAGAGTAATATAAAAGATTTTTATTTCAAATACAATGAGAGACTAATTGGGGATTTATTGTATCGACAATTTTGTTTTAGGTATATTTGAGTCAAATGTAATAAGGTTGAGGCATACATTCTAGCATTACCAATACGAATTCTGATTCATATTTGACCTGTGAATGTGATAGGTACTCAATTATTCACTGGGACTTTTTTTGAGGATCGAAGAGTAGACTATGTTGTCTATTACCCTGTTCACCTTTTGAGACGTTATTAGGAGCAAGCGTGGACTAACGGTTTACTTGTATAACGGCTCTCCGCGTACTCGTCCATTAAGTAAAAGTTTTCAATATTTACTTATCAAAAACTACTCAAAATCAATACACCTCACTTAAAAGTAACTTTACAAAAAATTACAACATATGCGATGTTTTTTAAACAATGTTTTCTTTAATAGTTATTTTACCCTACGTACCTGAAACACTTCGTTTGATATAAGTATGTACAGCTAATGTTGGGTTGTTGTTAAGTCTTTTGTCACTAATTTATTGTTATATTCACATTTATTCAATACGTATATATTCACAAGAGCCTACAATTCCTTCATTCTATATCCGACAGTAGAAATAAATTTTATTGTAACTGGCATACTATTACCATAAAAGGCAACTTGGATGAATTTATCTCTGTCGAGTAATATCAATAGGACAGAGATAGAGCATAGGATCCGAGCCAAGTTTGACTTTCACAGTTATTCAAACAAGATTCCTTTCACACCATTATCATAGCTCCAATCATTAAGTAAGTAGGCCAAATTGGATGATTTAGGATATCGCAGGCAAAAAACCTATGGAACAATATTTTTTAGCTAAATGCATTTCAAGTAGTTCAGCAAAGATTGTCTGCGTTGTCATTCAGCTGAAAAATATTCATATAATACCTGGCGGCATCTATTCATATCCAGTCGTGGAAACGTTCCTCCATTATGAATCACATCACATCGACGCTCACTTTGCCCGCTTTTAATATTCGCAATCCAATGGGAAATAGAGCGGAAAATGAAGACGTGGTTGCGTTATGGTTCCGCCACAATATAGTAAGATGGACTCGTCACATGGACCTCGGTTCTATTTAGCGCGCACTTACAAATCATTATAATTAGACACTATTATATTTACACGTACACGAGAGAAGTACATTCACAGTTCTATGTACACTTTTAGATGACACACATCACAACTTAGTCCGCTTGTTGACTACGACCTCGGCGGCGGCGTCGAGGAACCCTCATACGGATATCTCCTGTATCTGCACCCGCTTCTTCATGATGCCGGGCGGCGCGGGCGCGGCGGGTGCGGGTGGCGCGCGTAGGATGCCGCCCCCCTCCCCCTCCGCTCCCGCGTCGCCCGCGCTCTCTGCGCCATCCGGGCCAAACTTCACCTGCGTGGAATTGTCTACCACACGCGGCTCGAACGTACTCGTACGACCCACAGGATCACCTGGCCGACCTTCTACCTTCTGAATGTCAGGCTTTTGTGTGTCGATGCACACAACGCTCCCAGCCTCGATAGCACTGCCCACACTTACGTCAGGCATGGAACTACGCGCTGCTCGGTGCTTCTCGTCATAACAGCTGTACTCCCCGAAAGTGGGTTCACCACAATCCGACAATGTCCGAAGATCAAATTTGGAGCCAACTCCTCTAGGCACGTGTGCCGACTTACATTCAAATCCGAAACCTTTGCCGTCAAATGCTCTAACTTCATAATCGAGTTTTCCATCATAATTATCAGAAGAGGAAGAACTACCTGCTTCTGCTAAATCGTCCTTGGAACGTCGTGGACGGGAACCACGCTGATGGTAGATGCCAGCGAAAATGAGGACGTTAAGCAATAGAAGGAAACAACCAACAGCAATGGTGACGGTCAGTGCTGCCGTGTAAGACTGGTAGTGCGAAGATGCGAGACGACGCAGTAATGCATCATCTGGATGGACAGTTGGTGCCGTGGCGTTGGGTGGGCACTCTGTGGACGGTGGAGCTGCAGGAGCAGGGCGAGGAGGTGCAGCACGAGGAGGCACAGTACTGCGTGTCCCGCCTCGCGCACCTCCTTCTAGCTCCACCACGTGTGGCACGTGGGCGCGCGACATCGACTGCGCTCGGACTGCACCTGTTTTGAAAGTTATGCCAGTTAATAACTAATCAAACCTTAATTAAAACGAAATTATTAACCTTAAAATCATTAAATAGCACACCTTCATAGTAATTAGCATTGTCTTCCTGGAAGTGATGATGTCGCATGGCAGCGTCAGGAAGATCGGATCCGGGCCGGTGCAGCTGCGGGATGAGGGAAAGCCACAGCGACATTTTGTGTCCTCGGTAGTGACTGCGCATCTCCGGCTTGCTACCTGTACCCGGGACACGGCACAATTGAAAATAAATGAGCCCTAACCGTAACCACAGCGGTCACGGCTTCACGAAGTTGACCCTAAAGTTTTAAATGGCTAACTCCGAATTCCTAGTGACACAATGCTGAAGTCCAAACGTAATCTATTTATTTATGTTGTTAACAAATGCTGATCTTGGCAATCGTTCCGTTTGTGAAACTTTCCCAGCCCCATATATTTTAGTGTATTACTACGGTATTGAGTAGTAGCTATAAAGGAAAATCGGAAAGATACATAAACAAGGGACCCGCAACATATACCAGCTATCGTATAAACTAATCAAAAGTTTTCTCCGACAGTAACATAAAATGTTTGCAGCGCCACTCACTGATCTCCATGTAGAGTTGGTTGATAGTGTCGTATGTATCCCAGTATGGTGTCTGATCGGGGCCCAGTCGTGGAGTCTCGCCCAGCATTGGGCTCGGAGGAGGGGTGGCCGATGGATCATTAGGATTCCTAAATGAAAGTTTACATGAAATAATTGGTTTAATGTAACGATCAAACAAACTGCCAATATAAAGTTTTAAAGCGAGATTGGCTCATTAAATATTTCACATTGAACAAATTTCGTAATTAAATCCTTGCTGAGAAATTTTGTTTCGTAACAAGTTCAAAGTAAAGTTAATAATTTGTGAATCGATTGACGACCGCAAAACTGTACCGATACAGAAGCAAAATTGTGGTAGATTTATAATGTTTATACGTGACTGAACACAACAAATACGAGGAGGGGTTTCTAACTAAATATATTTTGATCAATATGCCAAGTTAAGCTGCTCACCGGTATGGGTGACCGTTCTTTGCATACTGAACCTTCCGTGACCCCATCAACATATTTATAAACACTGATCTCGATTTTCATGGAAATACTTTAAAGTATCAATATATGAAAGAAATTGGAACGCAGAGTAGAGTAAGTTAAACACACGATCATATTAATTTATGTTACAGCTAATTGAACTTTATCACGATAGACATTAAATACACATTTCCTTACCCATATCGAACGAAATTGGAGATGTAATGAATGCAGAGTTTTGAAACACGCTGTTCTTGCTGCGTGTAATTCTGTTGATGATGCGTCAGTGAGATAGGTACTCCCAAATAGTACGGTAGCTCCTCTCCGTGGACGGACCCAGGTCTCTGTGTATTTATCAAGGAAAATTTACTACCTGTTTTTGTCAAGCAAATATTGCTTACTATGTACATATATTAATAGATTCTTCTTATCAAAACAGATGCTTCTTATTCTACATTCTTATCTTACGTCTTTAAGACTTGTCACACTTTTTTATAATAATATATTAACGTGGATCCAAGATTTAGAAGAAGCCAGGGTTGCGGGGTAAGCGCAATGAGGCACCGCGACCTCGGCCCAAGAGAAGGAACAGGGGGGTTTTTAGTCAGTAAGAGTCTGACACTCCCTCCCGCCCGACCCAGGGCAGGAGAAGTCATTTGATTATTTTCCCCTCAGAAACAAAAAAAAGTTTTGAAGAAAGTACGACACCAAGAAACATATTATATTTCATTAAAGTTATTCTCAAGATCGAACAACACTAAAGCGGCGTACGACGACGTTACGTTTAACAGTTATAGTTGACCTCTATGGAGACTAACCACCAGTACCCGTATAGTGCTATTAACAACTCCATTCAAGTGGCCGCTAGGGTTGTCGAAATAACAAACAGGTGTATAGCCAGATATCGTGCAATTCAGTGAGTGACCGCACGTGCGTCGACACGTTCTGACAACCGCAGCCCTGTCGACGACTACTATAGCAACTTGGTGCTTGTTATGCTGCATAGTTTTGGAATTTATAGTTTTAAATGCAATGATAACTTTTTAAACTTTAAATTTGAATTCTGTTCCTCGCAACAGATAGTACATAATCGTATAAAACTGTCGATATGACTACTCTGATTAGGTATTTAATCGAACCACAATTCTATTAGCACAAAGTTTTATTAAAAAGGAGTCCTGATTAAATGTGAATATAGAGAGAGAATAGATTAGCACAGAGGACAAGTATTTCTCAGTGCCAATCTTTTCTTGTCGATAACAAACTTATTGACCGATCTATGAAGCACAACATCTCTTATTTGGTTTATGGAACTCCAAAAACGAAACTGTTTTGTTTGTCTATTCAGTTTGGTTTACGAAATCTATTTGAAACAGGGTTTATGGCCGACATAAACGAAGATTAACAACTTTGAAGAAGAAAAGTGCTGTGCCACCATCGAGTTGATAAGCCGTTGCCAAGAACCATGTTGTTGAGCGTGCATGTCTTAAACCAACTGCGCACGATATCTACATAACGCACTATCATGAAGTTTTGGAACGATTGAAATACTGTACGAGTAGCTAGCAAATAAATATCTTGTGCCAAAATGAATTGTTTATCTTTTTGCTGTGCAATTGTTTTTCTGTTGATGTTATATGTCGGTGATACCTGACTATTTCCAGGACGTCCCAATCGGAGTGTTTATTTTAGGTCGTTTTTTTTCTATCTTTTAAACTAGGCCAAGTTTAAATTGCCCATGGCCCGCCATTGTATTGTGACGAGAGAAAATCTTAGTATAGGGCAAAAAAGTGCGTCCAAAGACACAACTTCATAAATACACAAACCCAAGCCCAGTACAATAATTTATAGGTCACACAAAGAGATCTATTATAAAGAAATAGAAGCAGCGATACGTGGCGTGGCAACCGAGTGCAGTCAAAATTGGTCTGACATAGGTCATTCATAAGGCAATAAAGTGAGTAAGCTGCATAAGTATTACCAAAATTTATTTATTTGGACGGTGTGGTCATTGTAATACCCTCCTTGACCCTTGCTAGTGCCTTTCAGCAATGAGCATGTAATCTAAACGCCCCATAAATAAATTTAAGATCTGATCCAACTGTCCCTTGTTGGCCTTCCTCAGCGACGCTCTAAGCCGAGATTCGGACCCTACCAGGGGGTCGCAAAGCGTTGTCGGTTGATATATTTGAATTATAAACGTTCAAGTGGGAAGCCTTTATTATTGACTGCACGTTATATTCGTGCGTATCTAATTCAAGGACTATATTTCTGTAACCAAGTTCATTATATTCATAATATAGGTATTATTTAATTATAACACTAAAATTTAAACTTGAAATGGTTGAAACTTAAAAGTGTATTTCTTAACCTCAACCATGAATCTTCCTATTACACCGTGCCCTTACCTGTGGATAATCCTTGTCCTGTGAAAGATGATGGAAATGTGTGAAGTAAGTGGTTCCACCACGAAGTGCGTGAAGGTAGCCCAGCCTGATTAGTGGCGCTGCAGTCCTTCCATCACTTAGTACCTGAATTACATTAAAATGTTACAGAAAGTGACTATAAAACAATGCTCTAAAACAGATTATTTGACTTCTAGAGCAATAACATCAACGATAACAATGCTACAACTGTCAACGATTAGCAATGGTGTCAACTGTATCATAACAATACAGTCGTCCTATTAGGCATTGCAAGTATTTTCCAATAAAGCTTTTCAACGCGCCCATCGTGTATTCATCGTGCGCAAGCGTCATTAACTCCCTTTGTACGTCGAAGGAGCGTTCGGTGAGGAGCGAAAACCACTTGAGGCTTAAATTGAGATCGTCTGCGACGCCGACGCCCCTCGCCCAGGCCGCGCCACCGTCGCTCCACTAATGTCTACTCAGCCGACAGTTATCAACTTTCAGCAGTTCCACTATCGACGTCGATTATCGTGTTTTGTTCTATACTCAGAACAGAAACAAAACAAAAGCAGGACTATTAGAGAAAATCTTCGCTATTTATATTCACAAGCTTCTTTTTTACTGTTGATCTTAAAGGGCGCGCCAGTGTATCTGCACGGATAATATTACGACGTAATTTCTATTTGTATTCACAATATTAGAAGCCTTCTCAATTGCGTTCTTAATGACATTTCAAGTATTTTCTTCTGAGAAACAGGCGGAGACACGTGCTTTTAAGTATAACTGTTGTTGAGCAAAGTTTGCTCTTAATTTTTAGTATAGCACGAGTACTGACAATTTGAATATTTGCACATGATGATAATTAGGAACTAATGGTAGGTAACAGAGTTGCTTACAAGTGGGTGTCAACATAGCTTTCAGCGTGCATAACAGAGGCAGCATAATAATATGTCGTGTCAACATGAGATAGTACATGGTGTGAACATGAATGCGTGTGACTCACCTCGAGCGTGGCGTCGCGCACACTGAGCGGGTTCTGCACTGGCTTGTCCCAGTCCGTGTATTCATTCTTCAAGGTCGAATAGATCTCGTTGAGGTGGTAATAGTACGCGTTCCGGACGAAAGTGCGAAGAATGCGATCCCGTCGGCTCTCGTTGAAGCCAAACTCCAAGTCTTGGGCGTTAAATTCCAGGTAAGATTCTGTAAGGAAGGCATCCCGCTCATTTGCATATATTTATCATTCGCTTCGGAGAGCTCATTCAATTTATTCTGAAGTATGTTAGCGCTATGTGAATTACAACTTCAATATTTGAAACCGCAAGTCTTATACATATATTGCCATCCTGCTGTTAGTAACATGCGAAATGTAATAAATGCCTAGGCTGATTCCTAAATTTAAATGTAGAGTAATTAAGACATATATCAAGTTCGTAACTTACGATTGTTATTTGTACACCGAGTGATACCTTTGTAGTCGCGTGAATACAATTTCAACCTTGACAAAATTAGAATAAGGTTGCCTACTGCTATTTTAGTTAACAAACTATAAATGTACGTCAACATTAATCCTAATACGAGAGCTACATGTGTTTCAACGTTTCATAGACGAGAGCACAAACTATTGTCGGTTTGTTTGTTGTTGTATTTTGCGGTGTTTTGAATGGCGAAACTTTCTGAGTGTGTATTCTAATTCGAGTTATCTGTATTTAAAATAAATTTTTATACTTATACATATTTAGCTTGTTCACTTTAACAGAATATTCTATTTTTCTTTAATTTTATTTTTCTTTAATAGGATGGTCTATTTTAAAAACCGCTAAGCCTCATTAGAGTACACTTTTAAAACCATTCTACAACACTATTCCCTATATTACAATACAGTTATATAGGGAAGGTATGTTAGGAAAAACCTACAGCTATTTGTAAAAGTATCTGACAAGCATGACTATCTTACTAGACATAGAAATAGATTAAGTCAGCCTTTATTTAGATTAGCAAAAGTGCATAAGTCGTTCATGGGATTATGTGTTAAATGTTATAATAAAATCTCAACTGAAATACAAAATCTTAATGAAAGTAAATTTAAATTACGTATAAAGAAAGTATTATGTAGGAAAGCATACTACAAACTAAATGATTATATAGAAGATAAAAATGCTTGGAGTGTGGCTGGTTTGACTGCACAGGATAAAAATTGTTAAGGTTAAGAGGAATTTTTGATCTCAATTATTAAATTATTCACCATGTTGTTAATTGTTGATAAACTGGATTTTCGTAAATGTGAAAGCCCTGTAACTTATTATAATTGAGTTAGACTTATAGACTTATAGTATATTGGTACTTGTGTCAGTTAGGAGTTGTCATGCTCACTCAGGAGTCTCATTGGCGGTGGCACGGGCACTGGACCGCTCGGTTCCCTATAATATGGTTGAGTTGGGCGGTGCTGGTGTACGTGTCATATTCGTGAACGGACGCCGCCTATTGAGACTGGTCAACTCGAGACTGTCTAAAGTTGCTGTCCCTGAGGGTTATTTCTTTTTCGGATCCTTTGGTTAAACACTAGTGTTACACTGTTCTCACATAATGGAACTATCTAAATTATGTAACAATGCATTGTAAAAAGTGATTGAAAAAGAGTAACCATGGAGTTTCTTGCTCGTTCTTCTCCATAGGAATCTACACTTTGGAACGAGCAAATAGCTTCACTAGAGGACAGACGGACAGACTGACACATAAAGTTAAACCTTATGATATCTTTTTTGCTTGACGTTCCAAAGTGCCTTTTTTGGTCTATTTGAAATAAAGAATTTGATTTGATTTGATTTGAGGATTTATCTTTAGTCGAAGTTTTAACCATTGAGTCAGCTTTTGAATTTGGAATGTTATTCTTACCTACCTTCAATTCAAAATACTGGCTCAGTGGTTTAGACCTTGGCTAAAGAAAACCCTTGTTTTGTAATAAGGCCGTATATCAATTACCTACAAACAAATTAACTTCAGTATAAAAATTTCCTTATTTAAGGAAAGTAATAAAAGAAATCAAATGTTACCGGTGGTAGTTAGTCCGAACATTAGCTCTCTATGTGAGAAGTCGGCGAGTTCGTGTCCCGCTGCGTTTGCAACGGCTGCTGCGCCCGCGCCGAGTCTTGAACTATCCGTAGGAGGTGGTGCCTGATAAAATAAATAAATACTTTATAATAACTAAATCTTAATCTTGATTCTTGAACTTGATTGAATAGTTTTTTCTTAAATTCCTTATTTTTTTACGAAAATATAAAGATAATTTCCATACCAGTAATTTTCCCTTTTGAAGGTGGGGAAATGGGATCTGTGCTAGAAGATTGTTCTATCAGAACCGGATTTATAAAATCACATATTATATTTTTGTACAAAAACTACTAGTTATGTTGTAAAAACTAAATAGAAACCACTCAAGTATTGGTTAACGATTCCTTCAATTTAAAATAAACGTAATGTAATAAATGTAGCGTTTCTTAATAATTAGTTTTTGAAATGTATCACACGATATTAATTCTTATATTTCTAATAATTTGTTATTTCGATCGTTTGAAATACAATAATAAACACAATTTCTTCAGTTTACGGTTCATTAAACATATAATGTACCTTCATTTACGTGAGTAATAATTTACCTTTAATAGAAACGCTAATTGAAACTTTAGAGAACATGTCAATGCTCTTTAATAATAATAAGGAATAAGACATGCCATTAAATAATAGTGCTTATTGAATAGAATCAATAAGTACTATTATTGAAAAAAACTATGTTATTTATTTGCATTAACTGGATTTATGTTCACATGAACTTTAATATAATATAATAAACATTGTACTTTAACTTAAACATTGTTTTTTACACAATGTACTTATGATTGAACAAAGAAATGAATGTTATGAAGGTTATCGATTTGAAATACGCATAGATGCTGATGGTGATTTTAATCATTTTTACACGCATTCTAAAATCAAAAGTAAGGGTTTCAAAATAATTAATTCACAACTACAAAATTCACAACAAACGATATTGTGACCAAAAATATATTTAAAAGACTTAAAAAATAAAATAAATACGTTCATACAATAAAGACAATTCCCCAGGTATCCCACTTCGATTTAATTGACGAAATTATATTGAACCCAAATTGGTATTCGAAGGCCGCCATTTAGGCAACAAATGTTATTCAGGTAGGCCGTTATTCGGCTACAATCTGCAAACTATAGCAATCACGGGAAATTCTAGACGTTTCCATATTGTAATTGGTTTCCAATATCTGGGTATTTGAAATGAAAATCAACACCTTATGTTTACCCAATAGGATGAAATTGCCTTCGTTTTATTATATTAGTTCCATTAATGTGTATTGATTTAACACACTGCTCTTAAAATAAAAAATAATAATAATGTTCATACATAAATGTTAAGGCATTGTGTGGATATTTAAGATATAAGCCGCTTTATGAGTAATATTTAAAACAGTTGGCATATTAACATAATTGGGTAGTTTGCTAGGACAAAAATAATTTAATTCGACGTTTCAATACAATTGAAAATTAACTACTTATACTTGTCATATTATTTTTAAGGTGTAAGTAAGCTTTTTGATTTTATATTGTATGCCGTCATAATTTGGAGTTTCATACAAATTTCATAGAAAAGTATCGTTGACATTTAGATAAAAGTTGAATTTGACTACAAATTTTGTTAAAATAAAAATAAAGTAAAAAAGTTTTATAATACGAGTATAAAAAACTTTTAAATAAAAATCCACAACAAAACATGTTACCTATACAAAATAAACCATATTGAATAAAATTAAAAAATACTTTAAAATAAACAACCAGACAACATATATTTTCCTTAACTTTTATCCCTTAAAATAAACAAGCACAGGTGTGACGTCAATTTATTACCGAAAACATTCTGTTAATTACGTCAAAGGGGTTGTTGGTCCGACACCAGTACATTAATTAACTATGAATTTGCGAATGTAAAGGGATGAAACAGTACGGTGAAAGCAAGCACCATGTTGTTATAGGAGAATGTGACAAACCGCTTACGTCTTCTCAGAAGACCAGAGAAGTTACAAGGGCTTTGCTAGCGTTGGAAGAGGTGAAAGACCTCTGGTCACTCACACAGCAAAACAACGCCACAATATTAAGACGCCCAAAACGCCTATGAGTCATGCAGGAAAGCTCATTCAAGGTCGTAATTTGAAAATGACACTTAAGCACGACACAATGCCTGAGAAGTCAAATGAATCCTAATTGATGCATGCTGTTTTATGGTTGTTTTAAATGTCTGCAGGAAGTCATTAATTCGCAGATAGATAAGCTGAAAACAATTAATTTTTTTTTTCGCCGTTACGTTATTTGTTTTATTGACTATTGCCATACATATCATACAATTACAGACTTCGTAAAATACTGAAAAACCAAATAACTTGTAATAACTAGAAGATCGCCAACGGCAACGCACTTGTAGTCTCTCCTTTGGTATTACGAATGTCCATGGGCGGCGCTGATTGCTTACCATCAGGTTATCCGTCTGCACATTTCCCGATTTATGACATAAAACCATGTGTATATTCTCAAAAATAGCAACTCACCGAAGGATTTACAATGACGGTACCGTCGACGAATGGCGCGAATCCAGGCAGAAACCTGGGTGGGTCTAGCCTGACTGCCAGTAACTCCGCTAGAGGCTTATTCCTTAAACATGGCGCCAGGTCGTCTTCCAACAGGTCTCCGTGACAGCCCGTTTGTTCTGCCACCTACAAGTTAATTAAAATATTAGGCTAGGTACTAAATAAATGTATTTTTAATTTATTTAAGAAACATATACCTAACTGATCGCCATAAAACAGCCAAAATAAAAACTTTGATGTAATAAAAGATTTCGATGTCATTTTTTTGCAAATTGAATAAGTCGCATACACGAAAACTTTCCTTGTCCCAATTTAATGTTCGGTATTTTTTATAAATATTATCCAGTGTAACAGGAAGCTCACACCCGATATTGTGTAGCGTAAAGATAGAATAGGTACCTTTCTTTTTATCGTGAGCGGTTCCCTCTGCAGCGCCCATGAACTCAGTCCCGACCCACTTAACAAGATGACGCGCTTCAGTAGTTCTGAAATAGATAACCTAATTTAATTTTGTCATTTTGAACGGGGCTCACCCAGATAATGAAATCTTTTTTAAAGAAAAACATTTTTATATCCGGCTTCGTTTCTTTTATTCTGAAATATTAAAGACTTTTCAGAATAGCTTTGAGTGTGATGTTGACCTTATTTTTAAAATTACGCGGAGAAAACTGCCCTCTTGTGCATGTCTGATGTGACCCTTTTAATCGCATTAAGTGACGGAGGATCTAAACGGGATGGTGACACGAAATAATGAAATCTGCCTGGAGCGGTATAATTACGCACAATGCCTGTCCCACGCGTACTCTCGCACGTGAGCAGCCCGGTGCGTCCCGCACCCCAGCCCCAGCCCGCTCATAGAAACGACCGTTCCTCTTTATGCTGACAGTTCATTAAAAATATTTCCTCATTAATTCAATTCCATAAAATTTGAGGATAATTTTATATTCTGAAAAAGTTAAAGTGGGTTTCATAATTTATAATGCCCGCAATTGTGTTCATTATTACATCAGCCCTATTCGGAATCGACAATAGCGATAACACTAAAATTTCTCCATCGTCTACGTAATTTAAGTTACCGACAAGTTTCACAATCAAATCATGTCAACCTTCGTCGAGATTTAATTGATTAATTGAACTGTTCATACCCCTTGCGACGGGCGAGACAGCCAGGAAGTTTGCTAGCGCGGCCCCCGTGCCGTGCCCCATGAGCGTGACGCGCTCGGGGTCGCCCCCGAATGCAGGCAGGTTCTCCCGCAGCCAATGAAGCCCCGCCACCAGGTCCATCAGACCGAAGTTACCCTGCGCCGACCCCTTAGCACCAGTCTTTAAAAAACCTGTCACAAAACGAGAGCGAATATTTTACAAAATAAAAATATGTGACATTACACAAGACTCTGAAATAAAGACCAAATAAATTATGCGTATAAATAAATGTACATTTTACACACAAATACACAATATGAGTACGGCTTGCAGCTGAGAAATAGTGGGTCGTAATGCAAAATATGTCACTGTCGCATAGCGGAACGAGAGCCGGAAAACAGTTCGAATTGTCTTCAATAAATTATGACGTATAATGTGTTTTTTGCGCACCGCACGAACATATCTGTGTAAGATACACTCGAGTGGATAGCGACACTTATGTAAATACAAAAACTTACACATTTCATACAATCCCCCAGATGTGTCATCGTTATTCAAAGTTTCCTCTCAGGAAAATTGTTCAGAAGTGAATCAATATTTTCTATCACATCAATTTCGAGTAGTGACTTCGAAAACAAATATTTGAAATAGGGTGTGTTTATCGTTCGATATAATTTTGTTAGAACATCGCAAACAGTGGACAAAACAACATCACGCTATTTTCCCAGAGGGACAAGCAAAGGCAATTTCTGCTACATTTTGTGAATTTCTTGTGAGCTCAGATCACACCATATTGTATTCGTTGGTAAAAATGGCTCCTGACATTTTTGACCTTGATAGTTAGATAATACGCTATCGAAAAAGAAAAGTTGAAATTTCCATTAGTAAAGTCAACTACATACATATGTATATTGTGTGGAATGAATCATAATATCTGTTGACTTTTATAAGTACAAAAGTATTTATTAATAAAATTATAGAAATTAATGAAAGGAAGAAGCAATTTTCCGGAAAATTGAACGTGTTTATTGAAACAATAGCAGTCTACTTGTGCGGACATCGTGTACGTGACAACTTACAAACATTATATTGAGAACATTTCGCGGTCATTTTACATCATACAGGAATTTTCTTTCTTTGATACTTTGGTCGTTCCAAAATTGCCTGGAAGTTATATATTAATTTGCCTTTGAAGGAATATAATATAGAAATGACTTCTTTGATCGAATGGCCTTGAATTAGACAACATCGTCCCATGTCATAACTTGACGGAAAATAGAAATTTACTATAATTTCACAAATGGAGCAATAGGTTTGCCTAAGATTAACATCAAATTAAAAATGAACGCTTTGCCACAATTAATTTAAACTCAATCAAGTTTAAATTAATTTCATTAAAGCATTTTAAACTTTTATTTGTATTAATAAAATTGGACTGAACAATATTTTGTGGGTGTACGTCATACCAGCTACCACCTACGCTTGTAAAGATTAATAGGATTGATATTATAAACCTCTTTTGTGTACCATAAACTTTAACTCATCAGGCTTTGAAGCCTTTCAAAATCTCATTATCAACAATAAATCATTACTTAAGTTCTTAAATGTTAAAATTTGATTGATGTATCCACCTCCAACTTAACGCTTTACATTAAGAAACAAAACGTTCAGTGGAAACACCAATTTAGATAAAAAATAAATATCTTAGTTCAACACAAGAACTACAAGATCTATCGAGATATTATAGCTTTGAAAACAACATTACATTTTCCTTTAGAAAAAAATCAATTTCAGTTTATGGCTGAAAAAAAGAACAGAATGACGCTAAGCAAAATGATATTCTTTGCTATAAAAAGCGAACAAAATTTCTTTTTATTATTTTCGAAATGGTTTTTTTACAGCTGCATCAAATGTTGCTCGCTTCTGTAAAATGTAATAACGAGAATACCCTTCTAAAATACGTTCATCAGATTTCAAGTACTTTTATTGTTCATTTGTCTATATTTAGCTGTAAAAACGACGACGTATGTACACTTTGCCATTTTTTTAGTAGATCGGTATGAGACGCCCATTTAGTTACTATGTAATTTTTGTGCCAGTTATAATGAATTCAACTTTAAAATTAAAAAAATGATTTGCATTATTTAGACTTTTCTACATATTTTTTTAAATAAAAAGTAATCATGGAGTTTCCTTTCCGATCATTTCTATACGAATGGACACTTTAGAACAAGCTTATACATAGCTTCACTAGAGGACTGAAAGACTGAATTATTTCTTTAAATATAAAAATGCCTTTTATTTGTCTAATCTATATGTTAATGTAAAAATCTATACCACTTCGTTGTAATGTTATAACTCAACAATGGCTTTACTGATTTAGCCAATTTTGGTCTTGAATTATTTGTGACAAAAACAAAGAATAAATATCCCAGAAACGAAACATACGCTAAACACAAACTACAATGTACCGACCTATATACATAATACATAAGGATACAGGAAATCCTCTGCGCTTAATTTTTGCCCTTAATTAGAACTTATTATTACATTAGATAGATAATCGCCCACTTATTTTAGTTAATGAGTTTTATAAAATGAACACAATTACAATGGTCCCAGTACACAATAGAATCTAGGGGCCATATTAGATGCCTGATAAAGAATCTATAATTAAATTGTTTTAATAAACCGCCATTTTGGTAATTGTATCTCTAAAGATCGGTCTTGTTTAGTAATTTTCAACGTTTATAGTTGATTGTTGTTGTTCAACCTTCAACTATTGTTAGTTAAGAATTATAAGGTCGGTTAATTTGTTGTTAGTCTATTTTGTGAGCATTAATATTACCTGATTTATGAATTTCAAAATTCAAATTTTCAAAAACATGACTTATAATGTTCTGTTTAAAATGTTTAAGAAGGTAATGAGATGAAACAGTGATACGCTAGCAGACGCACCGGTGGTAAGAAACTGGCAGCGCCCATAGATACCAGTATCTCCAAAAGAGCTACTTATATTTAATTTACATGATGGGGTTAAAATCAAGAAGGTTGTATATTAAAAAGTTATTTCTGTATAATATAAAAGTATTAAAAATTTGTGTTATATTCATTCATTAAGAACCCTTTTCAAAATGTCTGAATATCCAGTCTAAGCAAGATAAAATAATATATGTATAATGGAGTTTGTAGGAAATGTGTGTCACAAAAGTTTATTGAGTACCTACGTGAAGATGCCTAGTATCGTTACGCCATTTTAGATAACCTTTTTGTGTATTTTTTAATCTACAAGTCATTGAAGAATTAAACTAATATACATTCAGCAGTGCATGTTTTGTAGCTGATATAATAATGGTGGTAATTATAAAACTATCAACATATATAAAAAATAATATTATTGACTTACCCAATACACCTAACCTAAAGTTAATGGTCACCACGACGATGTTTCCATTGGCCGCCAACGTGGTACCATCATACGCATTGCCCGAACTCCATTCGTAGGACTCTCCATGCACAAACACCAAGCACGGAAGCCCTCCACCTTCGCCTTCCTCGCCGCCTGCACAGAAACAGATGCGCTGAAATATCTTAATCCACCGCTTTCAGAATTAAATATTTTATTTACCATTTGATTACTTCTCTTAAAAGGGAAGTTTTATTTATTTATTTGGACTTCTAACAGAGACAACAATATTAAATCCTAGATAACATAAATAACAGAATATGACCTTATGCTTCTCCACTTATAAGAAGCCATGGCATGCAAATATTATATAACAGCATGAATACAAATTATTAATATTAATTAAGTTTTGTAAAGAAAAAGAAAAAAAATGTTTGTTGTGACGAAAAAGTTTTAACTACAGGTTTATATACATTCGTTACAACACATTCACACCCACATTTTATCAGTACCCCTTTATTGCCTTATACCAAATTATTTAGATAAAATTTCATCCTTTTGTAAATAAAAATACGTTAAAACTCCAAATCAGATAATTATCTCGAAGGCTTCTCCCACCAGCTTATAAATTACGAAGCGCTATCTGATACTGTTAATTAATGGTTATTAGAAGTGCTTCATAAGTATCCTAATAAGTGCGAACAAAACAAGGATTAAGAATTTTACCTTTGAAAAATTTCAGACAAGAAAATATTGAGAAAAATATAAGAGATTTCTGAAGAAATAAGCTGTGCCTTTGAACCTAATTGTTGTATTATTTTTCTTGTCCAACTTACTGTGTGTACAAAAATTTTTAAATAAATAAATAAATATTAAAATAAACAACTTTTAAATTTATATTCACATTCAGTATTCCATATTAATAAATATTCCTTAATTTTATAATGAAAATAATAACTCACATACATTGAACACATGAATTGAAATGCTATTTACCACTTTAGTTCAAATTACAACAATTTAGGAACCAACTAAAACATAACAGCTCTTTGGGGCGCATAATAACAATATTATTATGTTTACATTACAATAACATTCTGCACACTGGTACACTATACTCACAGTATTGATAACATAAACAGTGGCGGCGCTTCGCTCTTGGCTCTTGAACAGTAGATATGGGGTGTCTCAGCCTCACTTCCGCACTGCTTGCAGGAGGCAGGATGCACTGCAATGCACTACGGAATTGAGGCCTCGACACCCTCCGTCGCGAACCCTCTTCCTCTCATTCCCCTCCCCAATGCATCTTCTATGTCATCTTATACGACGTCCGTTCCCTCCTATCTTACACAAACGACGATATATTTACAGTACTTAAAACTTGTGAACCTTTCAACTCCACAGCTGAAACGTTTCTGCATAAATTATGGCCGCGTCAGGTTCAGACGGAGGTAACTATTCAAAGCTACCCCTTAAAATGGGTTCTACGTCCAAAATTTGGCAGTACATCAATATTTAAACGTTCTTACGATTAGGAAACGTATTAGTTGTACATTCAGGTAAAGCTTGTGGCTAAAAATAAAATGTTGTACACAAGTATCGTGTCATATTGTTATTCAATTATAGTGCAAGTGATTTTAGGATTTCTTGATCATGAGTTCACTTTTTGGTTACGTTTAATATCTAAAATAAAAAATGATAAATTAGGATTTAATATCATCGCCATACTGAACACTGAATGCTGACTGTAACAAAATAAAAAGAAAATGTTTCAGTGTGTTTCATAAGGAATCTTTTCTTACAAATGCAATACTTAGCTGAGTTTTAAAGAAACGCCTTCTGTCGTACTAAAAAAAATATAACGAGATTTGTGAAGGAAATTCTACCCTTTCCGATTACAAGGCAGATATTATAACGAAATTAAAAAGGAAAGTTTCAAGAATTAATTTAAGTTTTGACGTAAACATTTTATTTTTGTTGTCTACAAAGAGGATATTAAGTTATTTGGATTAATGTTCTTCTTTGACCTTATTTTTCATAACTAAAACAATTATGAAACCGAAGTTAATTTCATTAGTCTTAAAACTATTTTATATGCTGTCAGTCGATAACTTCGGGTTTATTATTACTTTTTATGTTATGGTTGGTAAAACAATTTTTAAATAACATCAATATTAAATACAACTGAATGTGTATTCTACTCAATTAATAAAATTATTGAAATAGTTTTTTGGGGTTACTAGATCAACAAAGATGTCGTAAATACATTAAAACACGTAAACAAGTAATTCCATAGTTAGTGCAAAATTTCACACGAAAGAATTATTGCTACGCTGCTACGAGACGTTACGAGCGCTACGAATTCGTAGAGAATGTTTCGTAGAAATTATTTATACATATCAGGTAGTTAAAATTCAGCTAAACCGTTCGCTGAAACTCATACAGCTGGATCATATATGAAATACATGTTTACATTTTTAAAGCGACATGCTTAACGGACGGCGAATTAACTGGGAAATGACGTGAATAAATTATATGAATAAACCGCTGGCAGGGATTAATGAGCACCCAGAGCTCAGTGGCCGCTCTGTTATGTTGATACCATTGTTCTGGTCTATTAGACAAGTGCTATGAGAAAAAAGATGAAACAATGACTGTTATACATGAACATATATAAGTGTCGCGGGGCGTAATCCCACGGGATTAGGAGGAGGTATTTCGGTACTCTAACAGTTCGCCGACTACAATATGAGTGTATGCGAAGAGGGTGAAGGTACCATTTGCTGGGCACGATGCCAACCGCGGGTGTATTTGAGAATTACCTTACTGTAATTCCCATATACAACCCTGTAGCTTAATCCCCTTGTTCGAGAAAAGCCCCTTGCCTTCTTGTCAATTGCAATTGTTTCGTCGACTAGACTCTCAAATAATTGTTAAAGTTTGTTATGTGTACAATGCGTAATAATATTTTTTTTCTAAATATCAATGGCGTAGTGACAATAAAATTCTACAAATAGTTTTTTTTTTATTTGCAATGAATAGCAGTCTATTAAAATACCCACAACAACACCAACGAGTTTATATAATTCCCTACAAAAAAGATGAAAATTGATTCTCTATAATAATATAATATCAGTCCGGATGTATTGGCGACCATCGACATGACATATTATTGTATATTTACTCACAAACTCTTTACTTTATCCTTTCTTTTTAAGTATTATTCTTGAAAACAAAGGTAAATTAAAATTCACTCAAATATTTTATTGTACCCAAAAGCGGTTTACAGAATACATTTACAACATAAGTTTCAACAGTTTAAAATTGGCTCTAACATACAGAAGGACTAACAGATATACAGGCAGACATGTAACGAGTTCCAATTTTGGCTGATACTAAGAAATTACAACGATGTTTGTGAAAGTTTTTCACTCACCATTGACCGGCACATAGAGGTTGACGTATAGACAGTCCTCGCTCTGATTGGCGAGTACGGGCAGCAATCGCTCGAGCTGTCGGATGCGCGCGCGCGGGTGCAGTAGCAACGCGTCGTCGCGCGGCGCGGCTGCGGGCGGCACCTGGGGGCACGCCGGGCCCGACGCGTCCGCCAGCCGCGTCGTGCGCCACTGCGACGGTGTCACAGGCGGCATGTATCTATTTTATTATAAAACAAGATAATTAGTCAGTCTGCTTGTGACCAAGACCTGTGCAACCGGGTCGAAACGTAAAGCCTACCAAGGTATTCAAATAATTATTTTCTGCGTAAATACTTGCGTAACTATATGTTGTAAAAAAAAGAGAATTACATATATAAATTTGTATTTTGTAAACAACATGTGTAGGTCGTGGTGGCCCTTATGTATGAGGGTGCGAGTTAAAAACCTGGCACGTATCAATGTCACTTTATACAAGTTATATATGTATTATGTTTTCTCTATGATTATTAAGACACCACAGACATACGGTTAAAGAAAACATCGTGAGTATCCACCTTGAGTAAGCGTGGTGATTAATGCTCAACAAACCTTCTCTGTGTGTGAAGAGGTTTTTCACTTATAGGCAGATGATGATGATATGACACACATGTGTTAGTATTAAAGAAGGTTATACCCAGCTATGAACAGAAACGACTAACGATGATCATGTTTCTCAATGACACCTATATAAGATAACGTCGATATTTTAAACAAAAAATCTCACATTTTTCTTTTTCGACCGCACTATTACACGGTTATGGTGAACAGAGCAGAGCATCAGTGTAATTTAATCTGCTTAATGTGAGCTGTCGCAATAACGTTGCATTCAGTTTTACACCAAATTGCGGTTATCGCCACACTTGTCGGAAAATGAGTCAACTTAAATTCAACAGTCGTAAATTTCTCGAATCATTTTGTACGACGGAAATTACAGTGGGTTGCGTTCAATGACCTCGTACAAACTACACGATAACGGTGAGACACATTCGTGATTATTTTTACGGGTTCGTGTCACGTGCATGTCAGCTCGCTCAATTAGTTCCGCGCTCGTCTCTATTCATCAACAGATTACGAGGCAAAGTCTCTGAGTTAGTGAAGTTCGTGTCACCCTTGCCGTACATAAACTACAGCTTTGTATATTTATCCTTAAATAAATACTTGTAGACTTGCTCTAGTAAGCAAGTAATTAATGATTTAAAATTCAGTAGGTACTCGTATGTGTAGCAAGCTAACACAATTAAGCCATGTGAAGCGATTAGCAAATAGATACTGCAGTCATCGTTAATAGCTTTTACAATTTGCATATTCCATTAATCACCAAGTGCATTCAGTCATATGTAGGTACCCAACACAGACTCAGTAAAATAGGTCAAGGGTTTTCTTCTTCTACAGAAAGTGTGCATTCTTTAGAAAGCATGTCGTACTTCATTAAAAAGACATACTTATTGTAAAAACCTTACATTACTAATTCGATATAAAATGTACGTGAAGAAATAAAAACTTTACCTTAGACTACCTAATGGCGGTGTGGCATACGGCACTCCGAGGTAAGCCTCGACCTGCGGATGCGAGTGCACGACTATCCCGCGCAGCGGGCCGTACTTGGTCCTGACGACGCGCGTGCTGTACTTGTGCGCGGAGAGCGCGGTCGCGCAGCAGACGAGCCACGCGAGCAGCGCGGCGCGGTCCGCGCGCATCACGCGCACGCGGCGTGCGCGGGCGCGGGCCACGCGCCGCCAGCTACGCGCGCGCCGCTGCGCATCACGCGGCCCGCAGCGCACTCGCGCACGCGCACCGCCCCACGCGCCTCCAGCTCATCACACACTTTTCTCACGCGCCCTCGCACACTAACATTACATTGCGTTACGCACTCGCATTATGCCACTGTTCCACAACCAGAACGGTATAAAAAACACTTACCCGAATCATTGTTTTGTTGTACTAACAATATTTTTCCAAATGTTAACCATTTGTTCAACCTGTAACAATAAAAACGCTTCGTTAACTGTGGGTCGGATAATAAAATTATTCGTTTAAAGGTACTTAGGATAGGACTATAATATAGCAGAAGCAAATTTTCATGAAATCTCCATTTTAATCAAATATGAGCGGAGTAAGCCGGGCCGCGGACAATGGAGTAGGTAACGGGAAATGTTTACCTAACAGACCTAACCCGGCGTTTGTAATTTAATGTAACACAAACACGACAACAACATTTCTAAACGAAATTTGCCGTTTCCGAGGTGGTCCTGCGCCGAGCCGCGCCCGCTCCGCCCAGACAGTGGGACTCGTGCAGACGTTCACTTCCGCTTCATTTATGTAACCAAAGACTGATTTTCATTGCAATTAAATGTGAACACAATTCAATAGGTCTTACAAGCTCAAGTATTTGCGTCGTAAATATAAATAGACTGTGTTGAATCGTTCAATTCATTAGTGGTTTAGTTTGTAGAATGGCATTTTTATTGTTTCGTTTGTTTACTCTTTATTTATTCATTCCTCTTCGTTGTCTATAAATAAACTGGAATTAACTAGTGGCCATGAATTTATTCCCGACAAAAGCTTGCCTCTAATTGTTGTGCTTTCAATTGATGGAAAAGTTTGTGTTAGCTAAAATTTTCTACGAGATAGGCATTTAGTTAACCTTACATCCGCAAAAACATTTGAAGACCTTTTCTTTTAACTAAAATCAGTGAAAAATTAAAGAAAGATCCAAAAAAAAAATCTTATGTATCAACGCATCAGCGTGACAGCGTCACGGTGTATATAACGCACATCAATTATACAGAAGCAGACGTTTATTGGCGATACAGTGACGATATTTACGTGCACATTTGGTTGCGCAAGAGGGCTACAAAGAGCGCGGCTAGTGAGGGGACATGCCATCAATCACCAGCGTGACAAGCAGAAGCTTTGTGAGCGACCCGCATTTTGTTGCACGCCTATAGATACCGTGTCACCGTTGACCTTTCAATGACTCAAATTTAATTTTTGTATTTATAAAGTGTAATTATAAGCGTAAACTCTATTCGAAAAGTCATCTTCTATGATGAGTGGACATGAAAATTCATGACAACCGAGGAATAATGCTATTTAAAAGCATCGTTTTGAATCCTTCAGAATATGCAACCATTAAGGACAAATGTTTTAGTTAACAAACGCAATACGTTGTTATAGAAATGAGCAAAATGTCACGATGAAATCTTTTAAATGATACCTTTTATCCTCGGAAAATTCAGGTATTCGGTAACGATTTTATGAAATAATACCTTTTCGATCTCTTTTAAAATTAATTTAATAAATACATTTCGTTAAAATAATATTCTACAAATAAATGTAAATTCGATCATATCAAATAAATTAATTTGTTGAATCGTCACAAACTCTTAAGTACATATTGATTCTTCATATAAACATGAATGTTTCAATATATTACAATTTCCACTGTAAATTATTTCAATGAAATAAATATCGCCGAAGTTGTTTCCAAGTAATAAGACCGTCACAAATGCTCATAAAAGCTTATTAAGTTTTATAGGTGACCTATCGAGAACGAAGACGTGCTTACTTCATTTCTGTAATAGCCAATTTTAAACGAACGAGTTCTCTTATTGGAAAGTAGTTACTGTTATTAATTGCGTATTGAAGGTAGCTAAAATCTCGACGTTCCATTTTTAAAAGTGTCAACATCAATCTGCGGGTAATATGTTAATCTATTTAAGCGTGATCGAGCCCGGGGTGTCACGCTGCGCTCAAGATAACACGCCGATTACCTAGCCCGCGCTCCCAGGATCGCTTGTGATCGATCGGGTGCCTACTCAACCGATGCATAAACGTTATAACTCACGGAAAATATTACTTTCGGGAATACCGTGACTAACGTAGGCGATATTAATGAAAATGCTTTTTTTGCTTTTACTTATTCCAAATGGATATTTCTGAAAGCTTGGATGATCTGCGTGGTCACACACAAGTCTTATCTAGAAATGTTCTCCGAATTTGGGTCATTTTGAACCCTTAATGCCTGAGCAAACAAACCTAAAAATCATCAGGCAATTGATTCACCATGCTGCACACTGCAACAGGGCATCGAGGAATGGCAGCTGATGATGATAATGATTATGGCTTTTTTTGACCTAGATAAGACGAGAGGCAGAATCAAAATCTTACTGACTAAAAATCACCCCATTACATATACGATTATTGCGCTTGACTCGCAAACCCGGCTGAATATCTTTACCTACCTACGGTATTGAACCAAATTGACAATTTGACTAGACATTTTGTACTTTAAGTTTCAAACACTTGTTATCTCATTAACATATAGGTTGGCAATACATTCTAAGTGTAACGAGACTACGTGATACCGAACACACGTTTGTAATTGGAGACCCAATTTATTTCCGAAAAGTTTCAATGCGCAAAGTTAGATTATCTAACACGTCGCACAGGTGTTACAGGGTGTTAATTAATTTGTATATACAGGGAGCATTTATTTTGTGTTACGTTTAATTGATAAGTAACATAAGTACAAACATGGATTCAATGGCGAATTTACTCTTTGTCACTTTGTAATGAATTAATTGGATTATTAAGATAGGAAGAGAAATTATTCGTAAAGTGATGTGGAAAAATGTGAACATTAATTTGTATCAATTGCTTTATACAAAAACTCTATGTTCGAAATTCAGGCAACACGATAGACCAAAAAAATATTGGTCAAATATTTCCAAAACTTTCCACTAGCCCCAACCAAGCTCGACCTCGTAAGCTGTTTGCAGTTTAAAAAAGTGATTTAAGTGAAAAACTTGTTTACTCTGACCCTTACCCTACTTAGTAGAGTTAAGCCGGTGTATGTCAGTAGGCTCGTCCTCTATTAAAAGAGGCTAATAACATAACAAAAACCGTAAACCAGTTTGCCGTAGACCTTTGCTTGCAAAAAGAGACTTGAAGTAAGTAAGGAGTGTATTGCTAAGGAATTTTTTGGGCCATCATGAATCCAAGAAACAACTACGTAATGGTTTTAAGTTAACAACTAGAACTTTACTTTGACTGCACGGTAGATGCGGTGGCTGAGCAACCGGCAGCGTACCGCCATTTCGATTCCCACACATACCAACTCTTTGTGTGATCCACAAATAGTTGTTCCGAGTCTAGGGCAATGTTTCAAGCAAACACAAAAAAAAAACAACAACAACAGTCAAGTGTGACGTGGAGTAAATTGAAACGTGAAACTCGAGACTACGATGAAGAACCTCTGTGGAAGACGTCTGCCCCTTATAGGTTATAAAGGAAAGTTAATCAATAGGAATCCGACTGACTTCAAAACAAGATGCAATAACGTTAAATTCGGTTATTTAATCTTTGGTTTATTCATTCATTTACTCTATTCCGGAACTTAACTACGCTTATAAAAGACACAATTTAAAACACATCATTTTTAGATTCGAGACGGACCTAACCATTAACAGTAGGTTCTTGCGAGAATCGAATATACTAATCTTAAAACTCCCAAAACTTAAAAACCAACTTTCAAAACATCACAGTTCAACTCAAAAACTCTAAATTCGTGTCCAAACAAATTTTCAAGTAAAAAGTGTCCAATTAGATGGCTAGACCGTAGCTTGCCAAGTCGCATAACGACGGGGCAGCGAGCCGCTGGCGAGGCTGGACAAGTGGCGAATTGGCGTCATCAATCACGGCCAGCCGTCCGCCGCAGAGCTTTAATGGGCACACGCTCATCTTCCAGCCCCGACACGCTCCTCTGATCAACTCCACGTCGATTACTTCCACAGTTCTACAAACGGTACGTTTCCACCCGTGGTTTCCACTCACTACTCATTCACCTCTTAATTTAAACTGACTCTTGAAATAACATAAAAGAAGAAGATATATTGATAAAAGGAACGTTTTTGCTTATTAGTTACTGTACAGTTCTATTCGCAAATTAGACATATATTTTGTTAGAACTTAACTTGAAGATTTCGAGTGAAATTTTCACTGACAGTAAAAAACCTAACATCATTATCAATGCAAGTCAGCACAATCTAAGCGAATTGAAAATAAAAAGAACCATAAAAAAATTTTATTCACAACTCAGAAAATGCAAAAGTTACCGAGAGTATCTCAAATATCAACATTTCAAAAAATGTACGACAAAATTCTACCAACATTTGCATTGCAAATTCTGATGAAAATTCAAAGCGTCTCCTAGTTTAACTTTAACTGTCGACGGGATCTTAATGGATGCCTAAGCTCTAAACCTCGACAGCTTTAAGCTTTCCGCAACAACCACATCGGTTACTGCTTGACGGTACTACACATGAAAGGGTGATTATGAGAACAAGCACACAACCATATATTTCTTACACGTACCAGATTTGTGTTAACTCAAAGTTCATTGTTTTCATCTACCGTTTCCTTAAATGTATCGTATGTTTAGTGTACTAAGGTACATGTGAAGTTAAAAACAAATACCTAATTTATTCTATGCAATACCCAACAAAGAGATTCTTAACTCTGCAGTGTTCAATGGAATTCACTTCTATACTGAGTTTAGCTTGGAAAGAATTTCTTTAGAATTCTAATCAATATATTAGCAAAATTCTTAGCAACAAACTTGGCTCCCTTTAAAATTCTAATGTTAGTGGTTACAGAATATTCCACATAAACAACAAAGTTTCGCCAAATTCTCATGAAATAATAAGCGTTTAGTCATCGAGACCTCATAAATCTTACCCTCTTTAACACAACTTTTATTATTTGTTGCCATTTTTTTCACATTCTTGATCGGCTCTTGTCTCTCGACATTTTTTTTACAAAATAAAACGCAAAAAGGTGCTTCTCAAATTTTATCGCCTTCCAAAAGTACGCACAGTTATGAAAAGCAACAAATTAACTTGATTTATGTTTCAACAACAGAATCTGAATGGGAATTTTACTTGAAAGACTAAATGTATTATGAAATTGGTATACAAAT